CCCCAAAACCCCAAAACCCCAAAACCCCAAAACCCCAAAACCCCAAAAAAGTTATCGAGATTGATATTATTTCCTGAAACTTAAGCAACAACGAAAGGTCTTGATGGAAGCTGGTAGATTCCACATGTTCCAATACCAGTCTCATCTTTGGAGGAGATTCTGACGTATCCGTCCTCTCCCCATCCTTCTCCCCATGAGTTTCTGATAGTAACATAGTCTCCCTTCTTTTTGTCATGACCATATCCTACTGCAAGAACAGCATGATCAAGGCATTTACCACAGAATCTTGTGATTACTCCTTTCTTGTAGAATTGCCAGGCAGTACTTCCAGCACAGACAGCTACAGAGACAGGCTGTTCGTTAAGTGCAGTGTAAAGTTCGACCTTCTGCTCTTTCTCCACATCTTCAAAGCCTCCAAGTTTGAAGTCATTGTCTAAGCATTGAGTATGTTCACAACCAATGCTATCTCTTCCAAGATAAGGCATCTGCTCTGTTGTACAGAGAGCGTAAGTTTCAGCATATGTGAAGGCATATTCCATCCATCCACCACTGCATCCTCCATTTCCGTATCCTTTTGTACATGTAATGAGTTGTTGCTCAGAGAGATTTGGGAGAGATCCTCTCTTAATAGCGAAAGCACTTTCAACAGAAGATATTGTGGAGAAGGCCCAGCATGATCCACAAGTTCCTTGGTCTTTAACTGGATTCACATAGTCTCCTTCAGTTCTCCAATCAATTTCGTCACGAAGCTCGCTGTACCTAAGTTCTCTTTCGGTTGAGCTCATTGATCTCTTAGATTTCGAATCGGATCTTGGAAAAGCTCTTAGCCCAAGACTCTTTTCTTTAAATTCATTAAGAGTAATATCAGCAAATTTGTTAACTCCAAGGGTGTACCCATGTTCTTCTTCATCTTTATTATGATTAATGATCTGTTGGTAATTCTCTTTGAATATTTTATATCTAAATTCATACTCTCCAAGGGCATTGTAAGATATCCCGTATTTAGACATGAAATCGACGAATTGGTCTTGGAACTCGTCTTCAGATATAGCCACATTTCCAGAAATCTGGTCAAATGTGCTCATTGGGAGGTTCTCTGGAGTGAAGAAGTATAACCCCACAATTACTCCAGCAACAATCGCTACTAGTGCAGAAGTTCTCATATTATTATAAAATAATTTCAATTTTTTGTAATTTAAGAGGGGTTTTGGGGTTTTGGGGTTTTGGGGTTTTGGGGTTTTGGGGTTTTGGGG